CCGACAGCTAAACAGCGTTTGATCGAACCAGCACCGATTAACGGCCAATTACCGAATAACCGGTAATTGTTGATCGATGCAGCGCCGAACAGCCCGCGGTGCTGACTGCTGAACATTGAAAGTAATGTGAAAGTAACGCGAAGCGTTTGCGGCGTAGAACGCCTCTTAGAGATGGCGAGTGGTTCGGTAGCGGCCATTTGCTCGATCTGAGAGGCCTTATCTCGCTGCGGTTTGTCACAAGTACCGCTTCACAACTCGCAAGTATGGCGCACATATATCTAACATATTGTCTTGGTAAGGCGGCAAGTAACTTAAATGGGCCGGCACAATGGATCTGGAGGATATTGGAGCCTTTTGAAGGTTATATATTCCTCAAAATATCTTTTCAATTAATAAAACTGATTATTTATTTTAGTACTTGTCTGCACTGCGGACAACAGAAATCACTTGTGGGTATCCCGAGGATGATATCATTAAGTTCAGAATATTGTAATGTAACATAAAAAGCATAAATAATTAGCTCATTCTTGACGCCCGGAGCCGAAGAAATAACTTTAAATGTGCTTGAATTACACGGTGCCGAGTTTATCAATAAAAATAAAATAAATATTTCGATAGAAGGAGAAAAAGACGTCGAATGCTATTTGCGATTTTTCACGGTGACGTTTCCATGGCTTGTTTCTAGGCCGATACCGACACACTGCACACGAGCGCCGACGGTACTGAGACTCCCGGCGCTCACTCTCAGCCACGCCCCTTCTCCCTCCCTTCGCCAGCTGGCTCGCTGCCCGGCCGGGGGGGGGGGCGGGGGGGGGGGCGCCTGAGGGCGCGGTCTCCCTCGCACCGTCGGCAGACCGCCCCGCCGACATTTGACCGCCTCGTGTCGGCCCCGACGACGGGCCGACGCGACCATCGACACACGATCCCTGTCAGTCCAGCAGATATGTGATCAGACCGGCACGCGACTCGCGTCTGTCACCCTCTGAGAGGTGCGGCGCCGCCGAAACCCGACTCCCGCTGACAACCGGGCACGAGTTCGCGGACGTTTATCGATGGAACGATTGTCAGTCTGGTCGGACCAACGTGGCAGGGTCCATCTCTTAGTCTTGACAGTGACCAAACAAACCTACGCCGCTGTGCCTGGAGGGGGGGGGGGCTCTGATCAGCTGATGATCAACAGATCCCTCGGCTGTGTTAGCGGCAGTGGCGAGTGGCGATCGTTGCAACATCAAACAGACACACAAAGGGTGACCGTGGTTGTTTGTACGGATTGCGGTGGTCTGTAATCTGCGACCTTGCTGTAAACTTAGGGCTTCTCGGAATGATCCATCAATCTTTTCGGTGAAATGTTGTTGTAACTTTTGACTCATACGCGTTTCTGGTCTCGCGCTCCCGTGGAACGTGGACATGGGAATGCACGGGTTTCAGAGCCTTTGGGTGGGGCTAATAACCGGATTGCTATTGGTCGGCAGTGATCTTTTATAGTTACCTACATGCGAGCATAGCATTACCTATAAAATTAAGGTCAAGTCAGGTCAAGGTAAAAAGGTAAGGTCGGTTCAGGGTCAGAAAGATTCTAAGCATTTAAGCAGCTCCTTTCTACATATGCAATTAACGTAACCTTTCTGAAACAAATTAGGTACCTTTGCCATCAAATTGGAACGACTGACCCGAATCGCATCAAGTTGTATGAAGGAACTGGGAAGTGCAACGTGTAGATACGGAGCAAATTATCGACCGGAAGCCGGTTTCGATACTTAGATAAGATAATATGTGGAAGCCAGAAAATGCACTGTCAGGTCAGAACGATTCAGTTATTTTGGCGGTTAGCCATCCCTGCAGGCTATCGGCGCCAATTGAGTGTGTGGAGGGGGAGACGGATATTTTAAGTCGACGTGTAAAAGATAAGCAATTCCAAACTTCAACGGAAAAGGCGTGTACCAAAAATCGTCACCACGCCCCAGCGAGCCAATTGTCGACCCATGGCACGGCCGCCTGATATCCGCACCGTATCACACCCCGCCGGCCAGTCAGCTGAGCAATGTATACCAGTGACGTCATAGTGGCACCACCACGTGCCACGTCACCGGGCGCCGCTCCAACGGGCGTCACGCGGGACCGGCGTGACAGACCGGCGGTCGGCACCGCACGACCGCCGCAAAACTGACTGCGGGACACTTGTGGATTCAGGAAGGAGATTTCAGACGCTGCAGGGGCACACTTCCCCAAAATCAAACATTTCCAAAAGATCTTTAGTTTTGCCTATGTCTTGTGCATTTGCAAACAACCATGTTTTCCTAAAAGTTGTCGGGCTTTCTTTCTATGCGAGCAAACGGCGAATTCATCCATTTCGGGCGCTGAGGAGGGGCAAATGCCACTGATACCCTACCCCGGATCCGGAAGCGCATCGTGACGTCACACGTGCCACACGTGTCGCACGAGCCGAGAGGCCGCACGGGCCCAGTTCGGTAACCGGATAAAAGTTAGCCTCCGGACTCCGTGATGGTCATCGACTTACGAGAGATGATACTCCTATAGTCTCAGACGACGGGGTCAAGACCAACGTGCTGATAGTTGGTGTTACCCAATGGTCAGGTAATTGACCTTTACGAATAAACGGTACAAGGCTAACCCATTATGCTGTAGTAAAACAAACTTGTGAAATTTATCACAGGGTTATCAAATGTAGCCGGTTCAAATGTCGTAAAACGTGCATTGTGGCACAAACCAGTTGAGAATTGACATGCATAACAAAGGTATGAGGCATGGGTACAGTATTGTTATAAAGGTCTAAATGCCGTCAAGCTACCGACATGATCACCATAAAAATGGGTTGATGTATTTACCTCTTGTATTTTACCTTACCAAATGGACTTCGGCTTCCAATGGAACAGCACAACAAAGCGCATCCCGATTGTGAATGCACAGAGATGCAGTTCACGCCGACCAAATTAATGACCGTCTAACATGACCACCTGTATGCAAACATCGCTGGAAAGCAGCCCATTTCCCAGCGTAATACCATAAACAGATCTGGGCCGGGCCTGAGCCCGCTCGACGACAGGCGCTCGCAGGCGGGGACGGGGCGCGGAGCAGTGAGTCGCGATAGGACCGGTAGGAGCCGCGCGTCACTGGCGGCGACTCTGCCACACGCCGGTCCGCCCGGCTCCCCGCCGGCGCACCCGGTGACCGGGTCAGGTCAGTGGCGGCGGCGGCGTCCGACGGGGCGGGGCCGCCAGCCGAGCCGGCGCCGCCGACCGCCGTGCCATCCGGCCGATCAATAGCCGTTCCGCCGACCCTGAGACCGAGCCGCCCGCCCGCCCGCCGACCGGGCGGCCGTGGCGGTCACGACTGGGCACTGAACGGTGAAGGAACGGAGGAATAACGCCTGCATAACCGCCAACCGCACGGCAAGGTTACACTAGGCAACGGCTAACGAACACCACCAACAAACCGCTGCGGCCGGACCGTTTCCCTTGCGTCAGGAAACCCCCTGTAATTCGTCGGCGTCGGCGGCGATTCAGAATGAGGGCACACCTCCATAGCGTGCTCCCGGACCGCACACGTGACTGGTGGCCCATCCTATGCCCACGCACGGTTCGTGTACGCCCAGTAGCGACCGTCGTTCGCCGTGGTTCGCGGCGGTTCGGTCCGGTCGGCGCTGGTGCGGGACAATAAAACAGTCAGTCGTGCCCGCAGTGCGGCGGGCCGTCCCCGTGCCTGGCGGGCGGGGCGAACCGTCCGTGCCCGCCGGGCAGGCTTTATTGGGCCGGCGCCTGCCAGCCGCGACACCTCGGTCGAATTCCGCACAGGCCACGAGCTTTATCGAAAGGCCCGCGTGCAATGTGCATGCATGCTGAGCACCAAACGAAAAGTGCAGCCTTTAAAACGGCGAGCTTGCGAGATTTTAGTTCGAGCTTCCCGATACCGGCGGATAGGTATATGTATGCATTGCCGTTCTTGCACGGCTGTATTGCTATAAGTATCGTACCAAAGATGGTCCGGAATTATTTAAACTTGTTTAGGGCGGTTAGGAAATGTAGGTAAATGTCATTAGTTAAATTGTTCACTTAACAAAAAGAAAGTGACATCAATGATTTATTACCTGCAAAGATCGCGCAATGCAATACTGTTTTAACGCTATGCTAAAAGTCGAGCCTAAATCTTCCGTCACAAATAGTTCACAATTGAATGAAACTTGAATGAGGTGACTTATGGGGAAGGCACATTAAACAACATTCATTTGATTTGAAGAATATTCGTCAACTAGAATTTCACCCTATTTGCTAATATTATGGTGCATTCCTGCCGTTTCAAATAAAACTCATTGACTCCACTTGAATTTGAATGGAACACCAAACCCCCCATGCGATCGAACAAGTTTCGCTGTTCAAGCACTGCAAACTTTGGCCATCGAAATTACGACTTCATTTGCAGTCTTAATTTACGAGCCTTGCTTTATTGGACCTCGGCTCAGTGCGCTCGAGCCTCAGAGAAGCGATGGAATTAAAAAAGGCAAAAACTGCTCTTGAGCTGTTAATAAGTCTTTTGTATAAGAGCGGGTATATTGTAACGGTCCTCGCACATGATCACCGTTTTGTGTACCCATCTACCGTATAGTCCGCAGCTGCAGTTTATTGCAATGCTCGCGAGGCCTCCTCGCTCAATGCGGTTCTCGTTTGGCTGTCAGTTGTTTAACTTACATTCAGGAGCCTGCGCGATTATGAGACAACGTTCTATAGCTAGGTTAACATGAATTTTTAGTCTTTATCTGGACTGTTCTTCCCCAAATCTCTTCCTCTGGATGACCCGATCATACCGATCTTTTTTTCAACATAATACTTCATAAATCCTACCATATACGAGGATACTGATCACAGTGGTTATAATTCCATTAATCGCATTTACGGAAGAACTGCATCCATCACAGTTTGATGCCTCCTCCGGACTCGGCGCCACCCACTGTGCGGTGTGACCGATCACCAGCCCACACTACTCACCGATGGAGGGCCGGACGATGGTGACGGGCAGGCTACCCTTCTCGCTGACAATCAGCGACTCGGCCAGCGCCTTGGTGAACGTGTACGTGTTGGGTCGGTTTCCGAGCAGTCTGTGAACGACAGCACGGCCCCACGGTCAGCGCATCAATCATTCATTGACCGGAGAACGGTGGTACACGGACACGGGGCGCCGACAGCAATTCGTTATTCGGCGGGGACCGGAACCGCGCCGACAGTGTGGTCTAAAAATGCCTTGGATGTGTGATAAACGGTGATTTGTGAGTGCTATAGTCCAGACCGAGGAGGTTGAGAGGTTCACGGTGGATATAGCGAAAGGTGAAAGAGGGTAAAACTGCGGAATGAAGTAGTTAGTTATGTCTCCGAATATTGGTTTTGCTTTGGATAGATTCAGTTTGTACGTTTATGTCACTAAATCATTCATAAGTCCACAGATAATATGGTTCATGATATCTATGATAAGTATTATTCATGCTGAGAGCATATGCACTTACGGTAATTGGTTCCGCAAGAAAAATGAGAAGCATCTGCATTCATCTCATTCCGCATAAGAAACTGGTGCTCCCTCGAGATTAATGCATGTATAAACGTAGGAACGTAAGCCGTTACAGGTACTGAAAAGCTATCAACAAGTCATTTCCGGGTTGGTGTAACATAATAACTGCTGCAGATGATTTCCTCAAAATGTGTCGCACACATCTGCGTTATTTTGCTTCGAAACTAAATGCAGCATGATGTGTTATTGATCGCAAACATTTCCAAGAAGCTGCAGCCAACAAGGCAAACACTGCGGTGACACCACTCCGACTGCATTCCGCGGCGCCGCCAGCGAGGCCGGAGGTCCGGTAGCCCCCTCCCTCCACCTCACCCCCGTCCCGTCGGCCACGTCCGGTCCCGGTAAGTCCCCACTTCTGCTGCGCAGGAACCATAGAGCGCAGAGCAAGACGGCAGAGTCAGAAATAGCGTCAGCTGCTCCGCGTCGCATCCGTCACCGAGGCGTCAGATTAGCCGGAGCTCTCATCAATCACTCTGCTGTCATATTATGTGAGATGTTAAGTCGTAGGTTACGTGGCAATTAGTGCGTGTTGATATTCGCGATGCCACTGAGTGAAAATTCACAGACACGGAGATTTGTCTGAAATTTTGATCGAAAATTTTGTGGAACAGACAGAGGTAAATTAGATGTTTCGTTCATTGCTCGTTTGTGACTTTCGTTAGAATTTACTATGCTCGAAGGATGTTCATATGGATGCTGTTGCTGGTTCATATAAATTGAATTTAAGACGTCTGATCTGGAAAGGCCATGGACAATGCTCGAATTAATTCCAACTCAGGATAAAATCAGTCCTGATAATGAATGACGTAACTACGCCCTGTCACCGCAGTAGCCAGAGACACACCATCTGACGTGTCACGCGACTCACCTTGGCGTCATGTCGGCGATGACGTCCTCATCAAGCCACTCCACGGTGTCCATGACCTTTCGCGGGTCAGCGGGGCTCGGGTACACCATCTCGTCAATCACCTCCCGATCACAGTTGGCGTACGCCGTCGATACGTGGATGAACGCCTGGGGAGATAGACAAGTGGTCAGTGGTTGAGTTCATGGTGGTCCAAATGAGGTCAGAAGAGGTCACACGGATCAAGAGATGTCATAAGGGGTCACATGGGGTCGCAAGGAGTACAGAGTGTTGCAAGGGTTACGCGGGGTCACGAGAGGTTGCACGGAGTCATGAGAGGTCGTGATAGGTCATGAGGGTCACTGGGACTACTCCAAGTCATCACAGTTCACATGGGTCACGACGGGTCACGTGGAGTCAGGAGGGAGGCTGGCGAGGCATGAGCAGAAGCTGCGGATCCCCATGATGGGAGGTGCCACGGGGCGAAGAAGGAGAGTGAGACACTGGCTGGGGGGGGGGGGGGAGAAATGGGCATGGGACGCGGTGGCAGTGGGGGAAGGGTAGGAGGAGGTGGCAGTGGGGGAAGGGTGTGGGAGGCGGTCCCGGGCCGCGGCAGCCGACACTGACGGACGCGCCTGGGGCGAGCCGGTGGTCGGGTTGAGGGATGGCCCTGGACCAGGATGGATGGACGTGCCCCGGACAATGTCAGCGCGCCAAACAGCCGGCACATGCATCAGTGAACAAGGTCAGCAGCACAATAGTCAGCAGTTCGTCAGTTAATAAGACATGATTTCGTGTTATTTTTACGGCTCACTGTCCCAAATCCACAGTAACTGCTTGCTCTCATCCGGGGCACATCTGATAAAACCGTGACGTAGATCGACAAAGGCCAACACACATTGCAGACACACAACCTTATAATCAGAGCGATAAGGTGTGCCTCCCTCCCTAATGCACACATACCTCGAGTTTGGGCATTTTCTTGGCCAGGTGCAGCAGGGACTGCGTGCCTTTGACGTTCATGTAGACGGACACCTTGAGCGCCTCGTCGAACTTGACTGTTGCCGCCGAGTGGAAGACGATGCTCACCTGGAAGAGACGGGGGAGGGGGCGGTTAGCAATCCACAGCGCCAGCGAGACACTCGCGTAAATCGATCCTCAGGGCGGGCCACTAAATCAATCACAGCGACACCGTCAGTGGTGTGCAGTAGTTAGCACTCAAATCATAAAAATGCGATAAAAGGAAGGCGGATAAAAAATACCGCATCGACTGAGACTGGCTAGCATCGTTGGCAGTGGTGGTCTGAATGTGGGGTCAACGGGGTCGGGCATTGGTAGGCCGCGCCGCCACATATCCGATCACCTTCTGGGAATTCGGGTCAGTTTAGAGGAACGACTGGAGCTGTGCGGATGACGTCCGGAGGGCGTGGCTTCAATCAGCCCGACGTGAGGCTGCTGCAAATTATCACTATCTCGGATGGACGCCCAGCAAGTCGCCCGTTCATGGCAAATGTCCGGCGCGTTTGCAGGCTTCGGGCGCCCGAGCGCTGATCCCGCGCTTGATGTGACTATGACCCGACCTGCAGACTTTCCCGCCGGGCCGGGGATGATTTCGGCCACTGATTTATCGTCGGTTTACTGATGCACCCTGCTGCCAAACATTGAACTGAGCGGATGGCTGGGATCGGCTGACAGAGTCAATAACGAATGGCGGGGCTGCCGGGATTACAACGTCGGGGCAGAAGGCTTCGATGGGCACTCAGTCGAATGTGATCTGGGAAAGAACTGATTTCGCGATAGAGGTTTTATCTATGATTGAAGCTGTCGCTGGCCTGATGGTTATTGCATGAAGATGCGATAGGCACGAACGTCTCATGCTTTTGTTTGATTTTTAAAAGATCACATCTCTATCATTGCCCGAGAGGGGACCAACCAAGGATGGATAAGAGGGACCAACCATGCTTATTGCTTATGCATATGCAATTCAGCCGCTCCAAAAGTTTCATGTCACGCGTGCCCTGGAGCCTGAGCTACATTTGTCTGAGCATCTCTCGGAGCGGGATGCAATCCAATTAAAGGCACGTGACAGCACTCTGGTTTCATATGGCGGCCAGTGCCACCATGCCGGCGCCCGGCAGGCGGCAGCCTCACAAACACCGGCGAGGTCGCATCAAAAAGACGGTCTGCTGCATAAAAAGCCTCCAACCTTTCCTCCCTCTTCACCCCGTGCTGGGCTTCCAGAAGGATTCGGCAGTCACAGACTCGCATCATTTACACTTATTACTCATTAGCGCTGGCTGGTCAGGGAGTCGTAATCACCAGTGACCAAACGCGTTCTGTCACAGATTCACCCCCACCTCCCGTTCTTCCCCGCTCGCTCCCTGCCATGCACTTAGCTGTCCTAATTGTCAGCCTCCTGAGAAGCTCAGCCTGTTCACCCTTCTCGCCCAGCCGTATGTCGTGTTCGTTTCCGGGAATCGATCAGCATGCCTGTCTAGCTCCTCTCCGGGAGTCCTTTCAGCTGGGCAGCGATGCAGCGCTGCATACCACAGCTCCATTGCTGATTACTATAGCTTGCAGGTGTGGTGGAGGCAGGTGGGTCCAGGCGGGACGGTTTGTATAGTGGCGTGACGGCACTAACCAGGCGCTCCGTGCCCTCCCGTGGGGGGGGGGGGCGATCGATGGTCACGGGAGGGATGGGGAGCGGGAGGGACCGGCTCGCGCCGCCGCTGACCCCGACTGACCAGTGCAGTGACCTTTGGTCTGACCGGCGCGGTGGGAGGGTCGCGGTCGGGGTCGCGAGAAAACTGACAGACGGACGGGACTGGATGTCACGGTCACGCCCATGTTCATACCCAAAACTCTGCACTTGTTCGGTAATCAAACATTCGGAGAGGACATAGTGAATAGCGAACGTGATTCAATCCAACCATGGAGTAACAGGAATGATACAATGTTCCATTAACTTTTTACCATATAAAATCCACTTACCACAGATATACCTACGGTTCTACATACATCAGCAAACAGGTGGACATGCTGTTTTTATGTCCGAGCCCCAACCAGACCCATTTATCGTGGCATTGCATTATGTCAATGGTGTCCAGTGTCTGCCTGATGTTCGAGCTGTCCAGCGGATGACCAGAGGCTAGTGCCTGATGGTGTCCAGTGTCCATCAGTATGACATCAGGTGTCTAGCCATCAGACCGTGCGGCCCAGCATTACCCAAAGCCTATATGTAGATCATACAGCTGTCCCGCTTGGCGGCCTTCTCTGCGGTCAGTTACAAAATGTCCCTGAATAACGCCTGAATGCACCACCGCGAGCGCATTTAGCGCGGCACGGTGCTGCACGATTTGTTTTGTTGCACAGAGCCGAGGTGTGTGCAACATGCGGCGGCAGCTGCCGGCCGCGCGGGGCCGCGCGGGGCCGCGGCTCGCGTCGGCCCGTGACCGGAGCACAGGGGGACGCGTGCCGCTGCCTGGGTAACGCTGAGCCCGCGGAGCGTGCGGTACGCATGGCTACCGTGATGAAAATTATGCGTGAAAGAGGAACACGATCGCATTAGTGCTGTTGAAAGCAGTCTTGAGCGCGGATACCAAAGCAGCTACGATGTCAGCTACCGTAAAAAGTCAATATTTTCCAATTCCCATTGCATTCCAGCGTTACGTGACCCGTTTTTACTGCAATCACTTATGATACAGACCGACTGGCGATAGAATCTGAGCGTCATCCAATTCCAGCGCCCACGGGCACTATTCTCCTCCGTCTCAGCCCACTGCCACAATCCGGCCGCCGCCTGCACCGGCAGACCGTCGCGTCGGTCAGTATTTATCAGGGCCGATACGTGACGCACCGGTCGGCCGCGCCACGAAAGTCAAACAGGCGCTACGATAGCGCACTGCACCGACCGGCGCCGGTTCCTGAGTCAGGCGGATCCGCCGCACCTGCGCCACCAATGGCCGCCGATTGTCCGCGTGCCGGAGACGATGGAATGGTCTCAGTGACGAATGGAGGTGTGGGTAAGGGATTTTCGATGCTATGAAGGCTCAGACACCGGAAAGCATAGAAAGCTTGACCGGACGCCTGTTTACGATTTTTAAACCCTGAGCTGAGAAATCGCAAATGGGTGTGTTTAAATAAAAGGTATATATAGTCGACTACAGAATGATGTTCCACTTTTCATAGGCAATTATTTGCCTGGAGTGGTAGGCTGTGCCGCATCACACGGGCTGAGTTCACAAATTATAGCTTTGTCCCAATGCTCACAATCGACACGCTTAATTGCGTGATAAACGGCACAACTTAGCGCTCCGGTCAACTGATAGCTTCTGAGGAGTGGAACATCATTCTGCAGTCGACTATACATAGCGTGGACCGTTCATAAACGTTAGATGTGCAGTGGATATTACTTATTAGCCTTTGTGAGGTTTTTACGTTGTGTAAAATGGTGGTTCGCATGACATACCATATCTCGGTTCATTACTTAGTGAAGTTATTTACGTAGCAAGGAGCTGATATTTTTATGCACTCGTGGATCCATAGAATAGGAAGTATTATCAATGTTCTCATATTCTGCAGAGCTCATATCCAACATTACAAGCAGATAAACTAAGCACGAAACCGAGAGAGATATGCTAGTTGTGGTTTGTTTCTTTTGGTCTGCATTTCCAGCTCACGCGATATCTGTCTGCTTTACTAAGAAATTGACTCCCGACGACTTCCAGTCATATGCGCCATCCACTTCAAGTTCCCTAAATCCTATACCTAACGGTTTCTTCTCTTCCTCTTCCTATACAGTTTTTCATCCCGTAATGCTATTATAGTGTCCGACCCAGGCCAGAGAGAAGGCGAAAATATAATCTAGGACATATGGTGTGACTGTGAGCACATGCTCATCGCTCATTAAAAGCCTAGGGATTCCCAAGAAATAAGCAGCTAAAATAGCTTCAAAATTCGCTAGCTCGGAGTGCGCTCGGCGCCTCCTGACCTGACAAATCTATAACTTGGAAATTGACATATTCCCGACAACAAGGAGCCGGGTATTGAAACTGGCACCACTACCGTGACTGTAGGATGCATGGGCACATCTCCGGTCTCCCCAATCGACTGTCACATCACTACACTAAAAGTCGTAGGGTAACTGTGGGGAAAACGCACCCCTGGGTTAAACGCCTCCCCTAAAAAATCGTATTTCTTATCGATGGATAGGTGTTTTATCCTGTCTTTCAGAACAGTCAGCTGCTTGTTTACGTAGGTCTCTATTTCCGGTTCTGCGTCTTGAGGAGCAGCGTGGGTAGGTGCTGATGTTGGTTTTGGGTGTGGTTTTTGTTGTTTTTTACAGAAGATTCCTAATATTTTGATGCCCTCTTTATATCACAAAACTTGCTATTGTGTACATCACTCAAAACTGCGTTTTCTTGTCATTCTGTTGAATGTATTATGCTGCGGCGTTAGTGGCGCGTTTTTTAAGTCAATATTTTGTTGACCGGAAATGAAGTGGATGGGGCAAGACGCCTACTCGATGCATGGGGCAAGACGCCCCCAGTTTTCTGAAAGGGGGGCGTTTTGCACGGTGGTGAGAGTGCAGGGTAGCGCCCTGTAGGTCGGGGCCGAAAAGGCCTCTCCCTGTCCTTTTTTTACTGATATATCCTAAACGACTGCAGATATCGTCACCAAACTTTCAGGACTCCTCCGGGCATCCATTTTACACATTGCAACAAAATTTTATTCCAAAGGCTATGATAGGTTGACCACAAATGACGTCAGAATGACGTCAAGTTCTGCCATGTTCATCATTTTCTGTTGATGGATGGGGTGGGGGCGCTTTGCACATGGGTATGGGCGTATTACCCAGGGTATGGGGCAAAACGCCCTTTTGTAAGGGTATGCGAAAACCTTTTTGGGGGGTTAAATACCACACGCAGGTGTCTTTTCTTGGTCTCAAAGCGTAGTAAAAAGATTGAGCTACATCATGGTGCCCAAAGGTTTAAGCAATCTGTGTTGGGTTGAGTGTCAGAAGGTTTCGCGCTTAAGGGGGGCGTTTTTGACCTATTCACCCTAAGCTTCAATTACCTATTTATTTATCTCCTCCTGGCTCCTGACGTAGCGTTTCTCGCATAACATCGTGTCGATTATCGGAAGTTCGGTGCGTGTAACCTCTGTCGTCTCAGAAAATTGAAGTGGATGGCACCTGTACCCGCTTTTTGTCGTTATCTGTGAGCGCACCAGGAAGCAGCACCGGCCGTACGATTGCCTCGCATTACGGTTGTACGGCGATGGTACGGCGTGGTAGGTACGGTGTGGTTACAGTAGCACAGCACGACTATTTCGTTTAGCTACAATATGGTTAGGTATTTAGGGCTGCACTGGTCCCAGTCACCCTATCTTACTACACGAGGACAGGGATCCAATTACACACACAGGGAACGCCCATCGACGCACTCGATTGGCTGTCGAGACTAATTGCCTATCCGATCTCCTCTCGAGTGGCACTGTCGAGATCGACACAACAGTTCCACTTGAAACACTACGCTGATGGTTCACACTTGATAATGAGAGCAGGTATCGGCGAGAGCCGACTTTGATCTTAAAGTAGTTCCTTTAACTGGATTCATATCCGTTGAACACAGCCTTTCGCTGACCAGAAGCCGCCCTCCCACTGAACTCATGCTGACCTCCCAAGTCTTATACCTCCTGTTGACTCAACAAACAAACGTCCCGCTGGCCTTGCAGTCTGACCTCCTATTGACCTCAGATTGGGTCTGATCTCCCTTGACTCCAGTCTGACCTCCGTTAACCCCAGTCTGACCTCCGTTGACCCCTCTGACTCTGACTGACCTCCGATGACCCCACTGACTGACCTCCTGCTCGAGGCGCGCCCGGTCGACTGAGTTGAGTCCCAGTCCTGGCTGCATGATGTCACCCGGCACGGCCACCAGCTTCTCCAGCTGGCTGGGGGACGACCGACGCAGACTGTCGAAAATCTGAAACAAACGGGCACCGTTAGCTGATACAAAAGGCGTAGGTAAACGTGTGATACAAGCATGATCTTCATGGCAGACAATAGCTGGGTTGTTTGGGCCAAAGATCTGTTGTTTCAGCTGCCAGTCGACCCGGGGAATTGGCTCGAGGTGTGGCCGACATGGCCCCGTATCATTGGAATCGAAAATCGTGACGTGTCGTAACAAATCACAACGTTGCGGGTGGCGCGTGCAGTGGATGACAGCCCTTGATACAATTATGGCGTGCCGAGGCGTGACTGCAATGGCACGCGCGGTAGAGGGAGCGTCATCGGTGCACAGCCCGTCAAAGGGCAGACAGAGCAACCATGACTGCGCGGCAGACGCACCAGTAATCTCGGTACCGGGAAAACACCCAATTATTTCCGCTGATTTCAGGAAACACGCAGTAGATGTGACGCAAAGTTACGTGCCAACGCGCTGAGCTTTCGGTACCTACTTATTCGGCATCAGCACCCGGGTCACATTGTGCGCGTGTGTCGGTCGTCAGCGGGAGCAATCCATCCGGAAAATGCCCAAAGGCAGCACGCAAAATGTTTCGGGGAGCGACAGAAGTCTTTTGATCTTTGTTTGTCAATGTTGAAAACTTTTGATTCGTGTTCAACGCAGAGCGATGTTAAACGTTATGTAAAATGAGACCGAGGGTTTCCCAACGCTATCCGGTTCGGGGATAACATTGCAAACATTATCTAGAACTAGCCGTCACCTATGTTGTTCCCATTTATATCCTTTATGCATAGGCGCGGGAACTACTTTCAGACTGGGGGGGCACACCATAATGGAAATGAACCTACACTCAGAAAACACTTTGAGAACATTTTTGAATAAGGGCTCATATGAGTGCCAAAACAGGGCTCAAATCTGTATGATTTTAAAATCGGGATCAGTTAGGCGCCCTTTTCGGGCTCAAAGTACATTAGCCCCGAAAGCGGCATCAGTTCGTCTTCCTTTTCGGGCTCAATTCGAGCTGCGTTTTAGGGCTCCATACGACATTCCGCCATTCCGTCTTTTGCTGTTTTCAGTGCCATGTGTTGGTGTACCTACCGCCGTGATTTCAAAATGAATGGTAAGTTATTAGTTATCAGTTATCGCTATCTTTTAGAAAAAATCAAGATGTTGATGCTCATGCCATTTTAATCCCTTATCAATTAAAATTGTGGTGGCATTTGTTCAGAAAAGGTCTGATCTACAATTGTGGCGCCGTTGATACGAATACGCACGGGTTTGATTATTCGTTTTTCTTGTATTTGCGCCACATGAAAGCATCATATCTGGATTCAGGATGTCAAATAGTGTAAGAATGTGCAAAAATTTTGTCTGGTTCTTCGTGATGATGTGATTGAAGCAATGCTTTCAAGGGTAGGTAAGGATTTTGTTACTTGTTCGTAATGGTTATCTTGATGCTCAACTAAAATTAATCCTAACCTTGCCTACTAACCTATTAAGTTAAACTTAGTACCAATACCTACCAACCTACAACCTATTTGGATCTTTCATATACTTATAACATGCTGCTGCTTCTGCTAACATGCTGCGGAATGCTGGTTGACATGATGGAATGCTGGTATGACAGTGTTCCATGTTTCAGAATTTTAGGTGAATAACCACACATGATGGGGAAAATGTTTTCATCCTAAAAATATGACAAGTGGCTTTATTTCATCTTTGCTAAAAAAATATGTCAAAAGTTTGATTCAACAGCCAGCTGCCAGGTTACGCATGACTTGACAGTTGATGCATCTACTCTACATCATTTCATTTCAATTTCAGATCCTGTGAAGGTTCCGACAAAATCTGAGGTAAAAATCGCATTATGCAGTTTTGCGGAAAGACTAAATCTATCTCATTTTGTCTTCAGATTTTTTTTATTGGGACACCCAATTGAAATCCAATTTTAGAACACTGTGACACCATGCCTGTGTGCCAAGTAAGAGGAAGGGTCTACAAGTATACATCAAGATAACCAATTATGGACAAGTTGAGACTTGAGTCATGAGCTCTTATTTGTGGTTACAATACCTTCAACTGCATGATTTTGCACAACTTCCATACAGGCATCCAGACTGGAAAAGGTTCAAGTCCATACTTATTCTGGTGCTTGAATATGGCAGTTCAAAGATGGAAGGCATATGATGCTACAAAATGAAAAAAGTAATTCAACTTACAAAAAATAGGTACCGTAAAATGGGGTGTTAAGGGACAGTGGGGTGTTAAGGGACAGTTGCATGAGAAAAACTTTGAGTCATATTAACTTCCTAATTTGAGAAGGTTCAATAAAAACTTCAGTGTGGTAGTTGACACTGTTTTGCTCTTGACCATAGGAGAAAATGGTATGGTTTTTCATGCAAGTAATTTGGTTCAAAAATGGATTTGAAAATCAAGCTACATTTTCACAAAATTGAAACATCTCCAAAACTCTGTGTGTACCACATAAACTAGTGGGTGTACAGGGAAAATGAATGCATAAGTGTATTGTCACATGTATTGCACATGTTTCCTGAAAAACTTGTGCAAATCCACCCATTCATTTATCATCCTCTTCCTCTTTTCCGGACACATGCATATTTTGAGGTGGATGTGGGGTGCCAAGGGACAGGGAAGAAAAAATAAAAAATAACATCTAAATATAATTTAATTAAGTAGGCATGGAAAACACCAAATTCCACATAAAATGCTGGCGAGTTTATGCTTTTATCTCTAACACATCTTAAGTTATGTAACAAAACATCTCAACACTCTCTTTTACAATGATGGGTCAATGGAGACTGATGTAGGTAAATGTGATGTCATCATAAATAGGCTAAAACAAAGAGGGCAACATAATGACAAGTGACTACCTTCAACATGGGTTTTTATTGATGACAGAAGATTACTTTTTGGTTCTGTTTACCTTATAATTAGCACATTTTCCACAAGCGTAAACTGCATTACACGTAATTGGCTAAAAAGATCATTAGTGGTGAATGAACCTGACTTGTTTTGTGACAGAATATGCAAAACATTTCAATAAATAAATTGTGTGCCCTTCCACACCCCAATTGTGGGCATTTGATGACCATTTCTTGGAATAATATAGGTGTCCCTTAACACCCCACATTGGGGTGCTAAGGGACAGTGATGAAAAATAATGAAAAATAATATGCAGGTATAAATCTTAAAAACTTTAATGTGGCAGGCATGTAAAGCACCAAATTCCACATAAAATGCTGACAATTTGATGCTTCTATCTCCAACCCTTCTTGAGTTATATAACAAAACACCTCAAAACTGTCCCTTAACACCCCGTTTTACGGTATTCATATCTATCCTTAACTAAACTAACCTAAACTTACCTAACCTAATCCAACCCAACCCAACCACCCCAACCAGCCCAGCCCAGCCCAACCCAGCCCAGCCCAGCCCAGCCCAGCCCAGCCCAGCCCAACCCAACCCAAAACCTACAGTCTAAAACCTAGAGCTAAAACCTGCAGCCCAAACTGGAAAACATCCATATGGTACGCCGGACGCCCGTGAAGCCGTCATGCGCCGAAGTTCGGCGCAAGCTATTTTGCAATTTGCGCTGAAATTTCTGCATTATTTGCGCCGAAGGTTAGTGCCCTTTCGCGTCAAAATTAAGCCACTTATACAAAAAGCACGTTTACATCTGCTGGCCAAGGTTTTATAAACCAGACAGAACGCTCTGGGCCTTAACCACTCCTGACTCCCATGTTTGAGCGTCCAAATTAGTTGATGTTTCCATGGAAGCTGAATACCACAATACGTGTAGCGCACTGTAGCATCGTGCCGTGAAATAAGGCTCGGGACGGAAGTTCCGGGGTCACAAAAATTGGTGTGGCGGTGTTGTCGCGGCTGGCGGGCTCCAGCAAGGGGTTTAAGTTTACGACACCACTCTTGTTTCAGGAGAGGTGTCAGCGATTCGAGACTACTTGGGCATGCGGGCAGCGGGGTCGGCGTGGCTGCCTGCGGCTGCGGCCACACATCTTGGCGTCCTGGAGGCGGAGATGCTGATGGTGGCATGAGTCATCACTGGCTGCCCGATTTCCATGCTCCAAGACTCGCCGTGAGGGCCGAGGCGGGCGTCGTGCCGATGGAGAGATGAGGAGGGATGCGCTGGCATCGCGCCTACTGGCGAAGGCGCTCTCCCTCCCGTCGGAGGACCCGCCGCGTCGTGGCGGAAGCCCCCCCCCCCCCCAACCGTGACTGAAGTCAGTGACCGGCTGGAGAGAGCGCGGGGGAGCGGTGTGGGACCACTGGAGTGGCGCTGCCCGCCGAGGCGCGCTTATCCACGAGACTGCCCCCGTAGACGCCAACAGACGGCGTCACGGTCCACCTGGACCTGCTGCCGATCGGGGCGTCCGCGACAGCGAGGAGGAGTGCTGCGGAGGCGTGACTGGGAGCGCTCCCCCAGCGTGCGACGTGGGCCTGGGTCGACGGGTCTGCGACCGGGGGAGTAATAGGAAGGCGGCGCTGGGGTCCTCACCGAGCACCCAGACAGTACAACATTGGTACTGCGGGAGGCGGCGGGGAGGATTTGCTCCATTTACCGATCTGAGATGGTGGCGCCCAAAACGGCAAAGCAACATCTCCTGAAGCACCCGTCCTTCGAGGAAGACCCCATAATCATTTGCTCCGACTCGCAGGCGTCGCTGGCGACGCCACGAGGTGGACAAGTGGCCCAGACACCCCCCCCCCCTCATCCCCTAGGTGCCGCCATCTGGGAGTATATGATGGCCCTAGTGGCTGTAGGGGGCCGAAGAATCCACCATAGAAGGAGGGCGGCGATAGCCCGATTAAGCTGGGCGTCCAGTGGAGCCTCGGCTCTATCATGGGCATTGGGCAAGGACTCTGCGAGCACCCCCGTCTCCTCCATCTTCGACGGCACTCCAGTCAGAAAGCTGTCCCCACCCGAGTTTCCCAGCAGCATGGGCCACATGAAACCGAACAGCGCCGAGCCGCTCGACGCT